CGAACGTTATTCTACAAAATTATACAAGTCCCAGGCCTCCAGCTATCGTTGTTCGGATAGGGCTCGCTTTACCCGAGCGCATGTCTACCTCCGAGCAGACATCTCTGGGAATCTCGAAATACCATGGAATATAGGTAATCGTGTACGCTGAGCATAGTGGCAACACTTTGTTTTGTGTAGAAATGAAAATAATTTCGCCAGAGACATTTTGGTGAAACATCGGTTTTTCGCCTGTTACTATGAAAAGTTAAAATCCTTATGTCTTGGTCAAATCTCATGCTGACTCAAGAAAATTTTAAGAAAAGACGTAAAAAATACCATAAATTGTTGATCAAGCAAAAAGTGGTCCAGCAGAACACTGAGGCTTTGAAGTTTTTCAGAAGGTTTCTGGAAAGCTTTAAGCCAATGCCCAGCTGAAATTCACTTTTTCCTCTTCGATTACGATTTATGAGCTGTCCTGCGCGTTCTCCGAAAGTTTCCTTAAGTCAGCATGAGATTTTACTTGTATAATTTTGTAGAGTAACGTTCGGACTACCCATACGTGCAAAAAAATTACTAACTTGAATGTTACTTTTCTGAGAACAGAGCTGGTTTTCCAAAGACTCTCTGAAAAGCAGAACTTTCAGAAAACTTTAGAACAAGTTTCTGCTTACAGAAATGTGTCCTAAGGTCTTAGAAACACGATAATGAAAACCGCAAGTTGGTATCTATTAGTGTGATTGAGTTATCCCAAGGGCAACCGATGGCATTGTATTTTGGAACGGATAGTAGTCTAAAATAGTCTAACATAAAAATGTTTTAGCGAGAGGTATAATGCGGAAGTTTTTTTCGAAGCAACATGGGTGGATCCACAATTGAAAAATCCTGTAACTTATAACCCTACTATTCACTGGAATCCCGATCTGACGATCGCTAACGAGATTGGTGACAGTAAACATGTAAATGTTAAGGCTAAACAAGAGCAGCATTATCTATGTTTTTTTTTAAATTAGGATATATGGTATACGATAAACCATCGTGATGGAAATAGTCCTTGTGAAGTGACAGAAAATCACAAAATTCGAGGAGTTTTTTGGGAAAAAATGGAACTTTATCATTTTCCTGTAGATGTACAAGAATTATCCATCTCAATAACAACAACAAAACCAATTGAAGATATCAAAATTATCCCAAATCAAGAGAAATCGTCTGGCGTCAATCGTGAAGTTTTTACCGATCAACAAGAATGGGTGAGAGGAATCATTCTTTTCAAAAGTTTATAATGACAATTTATGATTTATAATTCACTATCTAAAGATCATGCATAGAGATGCAAGCGAATTGCACTGCTATTGTAAGATTGATCAAAAGTACTATCCAAAAAAATAGTTTTAAATGAAAGCCAAACATTCATTATTGCTATAAAAAATAATATTTCTATAATAATAATATATCTATAAATATAATATTTTCTCGACTATCAAACTTTGATCATTTTTTTTCTAGAGAAGCGTACCGCGAGATTTTTACATGAGTATGACGAGTCACGTCGTACGGTGCAAACATCACATCGGGTTATCGACATTTTTTTGTGTGTTTTTGATGTCTATATATTCAACTGTAGACAGCAAACACACTACGTGTATTTTTTCTTTTCTCTCATTTTATTCTTCTTATTTGCACATATATATATGTGTGTTGTACGTTATTTTGCTTTAAAGAACAAAATAAGGACAAAAATTTTTTTTATATTTTTATCGACATGCTCATTTTTTCTATGTTCGAAAGAAGCAGTGCTCACTGTGAATTTATCGTATATTATGCTAAACGTCGCGAATCACAATAACAATAATTAGAATATCTTCCTCTCCGATTTTTATGTCAGATTGAATTTGTACTCTACACCGAGCTAGTTTTTAGAAAATTGTATTTTACGTTTTGAACGCAATGTCTATCAGTATGATATAAGAAGCATAAGAAAAAAAATCATTATTTCTTTTATAATCAGCAGGAAAACAAACTCTTTTTTATCCATTATGACTTTCTGACTTTCTGTTTGCATCATGATAGTCAGAGAAAATGTTTGCCGAAATTTTAATAAGTAAAATGAAAACCAAACTTTTTAAAAAGTGATTTTTTGATATAAGGTTGACTTTTCAGGATGTTTATAGATGAATTCAGTGTAAGAAAGAATTTGAGATAACAAAACCTCTATTTAATTACCTTATTTTTGATTGTATGCCTCAGAACTGAAAGATACTGCTGTTACTCACTCGAAGGTCGTTGAGTTTGAACTACTTGAATTAGAGCTGGAACAGGTATATCGATTTCTTTTTCATTTTTTCCAAAGCTGACAACGAGAAAGCAGCAATCGTCGTTTTTTCTTTTCGTTCGCTTTATCGAAAGCGAAAAAGAAACCGATGAGAAGAAAGAGAATCGATATACCAAGCTCTAATTTAAATGTAAAAAATATTTGCACATACATAGAACAGTTGAGTGAAGTTGACGATTATATCCATGAAGTGTACTGTAATGTTTTAGTATCTTTACGAACATGTGGAGATGGAAACTAGCCAATCTCAAGTGGAAGAATTTTCAGGTGAAGATTCAGCACATCCGATTCTTGTTGTGTCTTGCCATGCAGGACGTAAATCAGGATATTTCATGTGGAATGGCTATTTCTTAATATTTTTAAGTAAGTTGATGAAGGAAGTATTTTAGTACAAGAACTAGATTTAAACATTTTAGTAACTTCGGCTGCTCTCTGTACCTTCGCCATTCCATTGACGAATCCCCAGGGACGTGTACAAATCGCGTGTACATTGCTCTTAACAAGTGTTACATTTCGTTGGGTGGTTAATAAATCATTGGTTAGTAATGTTAAAAAGGTATGCTGTTTTATACATTATTTTGTATACTTTTAGCCTATAATTTCGTATCTCACTGCTTTGGATATATATGCGATAGGATCAATTGTCGCGTTGTGTATGTTAAACGTTTACCATGGTACGATTGGCTACTGGTATTACATTAATCTTTATCCGTCATCAGCTACCGTGTCGACTATTCCACAATATACATTAATTTTAACGGATCGATATGCATTTGGCTGTGCTATGGGTATATTTTTGCTCTATCAAATTATTGTGTTTATATGGACATTTTTTGTACCATATCGTCGACGACGAGAAATGGAAAAGAAAGATTATGAGAATCGAACTAAATTGGCGACAAAACACCAAAATAACGTACAAGCGTTTGACGATGCAAAAAAGAGCAATCTGCCATACCAACACATGCAATAAAGTAGATGAACGATAATTTTCGTTCGATTAAACTAAGACTCACATGTTACATTTTTGCGAACAAACCGTTAAGAATATTTATAGCTTAAGAAGTAAGGCACCGATAATTCAAAGTTTCATGAAATTTTATTTTTAGATTAAACGTACATTTCTGTATTCAGAATAAGCTGCCGATCGAGAATATCACCTAATGTTTTCGATTTGACAAAGTTTTCACTGAGAAAGACGCAAAATACTGAGAAGGTCCCAAAAACCTTAGCTTTGAGAACACTGCGTTTTTCTCCTCATCATTTCACTTTTCGATCTCACCAATGGGATTTTCAGATTCCTCATGTAAAAACAGATATATATATGTGGTCTAGAGCCTGATCGCCTATAACGTATCCGTTCTGGACATAAGACTGAATTCATCCGTGGATGCTACCGAATTCTGCAAATCGATTTAGTTTTTTCGGTCAAGATATAGCGTCTTCATTCTTACGTCGTTCGAGTTATCATTTCGCGCACAACAAATTACTGTTTCGTTTTCTTTTAATATTACTTTCCTGTGCTGCGATAATTCATTTTTTCTAAATCAGAGGCGGAAAAGATGGAATTCTACCCATAATTCTCAATTTTCTCCATCAGAACTCAACTTTTGAGCAATAGAAGGGTTATAGTCGGTATCAGGATAAACGGCTGAGTCGACTGATGTGTATTTCGACATGTTTAGTTGATTTTCAGTTTTGGGTGAAAATCTCGGTAATTTTTCAACGTGAAAATTCGAAAAGAATTAAAGAAGTCAGATAGGATAGACATACACATCAATCGACTCAGTCTTTTATCCTGATTTCGAATATGATATTTTTATTACTCAAAAGTTGAGTTCTAATAGAGAAAATTGAGAATTACGGGTAGAAGTCAAAGCTAAGGTTTTTGCCGATTTTGAGACCTTCTCAGTATTTTGCATTTTTCTCCGTGTTAACTTTGTCAAATCGAAAACATTAGGTGACATTCGCGATCAGCAGCTTATTCTGAATCTAGAAATGTACGTTTAATCTAAAAATAAAATTTCATGAAACTTTGAATTACTGGCGCCTTATTTTTCTGATTTGATCCTAGAATGCCTTTTCACAGCGTTTGTTAATCTTTATTATACTTCTGACAGCAAAAAAATATATTTAAAATTGTATTAAAATATGCTTGTACTTTTCTTGTGTTCCAAGATCTCGCAATGTATCAAAAACTTCAAAACCCAAGCCCTCAAAACGTCATTTCGAGGATCCAAATTGCTGTTTGCCGAGAATTCGAGTCGAAATATTGCAGGCATATTTTAAGTATTCGAATATTCTCGCGCAAAACTGTGTGGTACGAAGAATCTGATGGAGAATCCAAATTTGGTAGAGAGTAGTAAAAAGAGTTTCGCAAATTTGAAAATCATGAACGACAAGCTGTTATAAGTTTTGGTTCATAACAATAATATTAGAAAGATTGCACAGAACCGAATGTCGCATACAGACACAGATTCAATGTGAAACTATGCTCGAGTATGTTCTTTTCCAATAAGAGTTGTTTTGTGTTAAAAGCCGAGGCATCTAAGAAAAAACGCGCTGAAATCTAAATTCTCTACAACCCCTTTGACTACGCTATTATTCGATAATAGAACTTGATTATCATGCTTAATTTTATCTTACGTCTATGAGAATACGATTCACCCATGTTACCCTAGACTTTGATGATATGAATTAAATTATAATAATGTAGAAAATGATCTTATTGCCATGTTATACGAGGAAATTATATTTCAGCAACCGTCTCCAATTAAAATGGGTACTTAAAGATTCTGAAAGGTGTTCCTTCTTTGGCTAACTCTTTTTTTGAAGAATTTCTCAGCCCTAAACTTGAACGTGAAAACGTGCATGGTATGCTGCAAGCTCATGTGGATAGCTTTTGCAGTGGATTATTTTAGTGTCCTTATTCGAAACAATACAGGGAATATGACGAAAACGTCAGAATGTAACTAAGCTACTGTCGTTTCTTTAGTGATTTTTAGAGCTTGTTCTATCATAGGTGTGTTTTCTCGTCTAATGATAAAACATGGAAATCTGGAATCCTCGTAAGTGTTGTTCTGTTAGTCGACGGTTATCATCAAAGAAATAACTGTCTAGAAAGTCTTCGACTACATGCCTCGATTTGGAATTGTTCTGACTTTTGTTAATTTTATATGCTTATTCTGATTCTGTACGTAAGATCAATGAGAATTATTCTCTGAGTTTTGAAAAAATCTTATTAAGTTCAAAGTCCCTTTAGTATATAACATAGATAGAGGCTAACTTTCTCGGTCGGCTATTAATGAGGAATCCAAAAATTGGTTTCAATTTATTTTTTTGACGGTAAAATACTTATGTAAAATGCTTTGAACACACAGATTGATTTAAGATCCCCCCCCCCTCAGAAATGATGCTTTTCGGTCAACAAATCGGTTTTGAGTTACGCACATGGAAAGATAGCCTGAAGTGTCTACTTCCAGAATCTGTATTGCTTTTGGTTACAAAACTGGTTTTGCGGAGATTTCGAGCAAGTTTTCTAAGAGCCTCGAAAAACTGGATCTTCAAATAATAGCTTTTTCCGGGATACTTATGAAATTAAAAGTTTTCCAAACACACAGCTTTGTAGAGCAAACGTTTCTGATCAAAATAAGATCTCGCACAACTCTGTATGACCTTGTATCAAAAAATTACAGCCATTTTCCTAGACGTTCTAAAATCGGGTATTTCATACAGCGTTTTCAAAGCATAAGTGTTACACCTAAAGTGCGTTTTTTTAATAGTGGTTTGTCGTAGAAAGCTCATTCTTTTTTTGTTTAAAAGAGGAAAAGAAACTACATCGACTGACCGGTGTCGATTTTTGAATTAGGTCTTGGTTTTTGTCGAACTGAGGACTTTTAGTTTACGTCTACACCTAAGTCATTTATTTCATCATAGGATGAAATTTAGATA